GCTTATGCAAATGAAGCCCGGGAAATTCAAATCCCGGGCTTCATTTGCAAGTGCGGTATGCCTACATTACCCCGCTAGTTCGAACTAGTGGGGTAGTGTAGACATACCCTAAGCCCTGTTCTATACCCTTATTTTGAAATAACAAGTGGAAATGTGCCTGAAGTCTCAGTCTGAGTCTCAGTCTGAGTCCCGCCAACTGAGACTGCACGTGCACCACAGCAGGGCAGGCTAAGGCAGGGTGAGGAATAACACTTTACTTTGAAATAGTTATTTTGAAATAATGGTAGTGTGGATTCTCCACTGCTGCTATTTCATAATAACTACTCACTCCCTAGAGTTTTTCATAGTAATCACTCCCCGATGCTTCCTGGAGCTCTAAGTCAAGGTAGCACGTCCACATTAAGGGAGCCGGCCTTGGTCTAATTTCGAGGCTTCTCTGTGCTGTGGAGATGATACTTGGAAAGAGTTATTTTGGTAGTCATTATTTTGAAATACATTGTTTTGAAATAATTATCTAGTGTAGACACGGCCTAAGGTGCCACAGAACTACTCATAGTTTATGAAGTTACAGATTATCACAAGTCCCCCTTTGAGACTTTATACAAAGCAAGAAGCTAAGAAGTTAAATCATTCAAACCTTGCTAGATATGCTCAGTTCTTCAGGTCTCTTTTTGTACATCAACTGTCTCCCTTTCACACTTCACATTATGTTTACCCTCATTTGGCATAACCAAGAAAGCGGAGTCGATTAAATAATGAGAGTCTGATTCACCCTACTCTGATGACAAATTGCAGCTGTGTTTCAAGTAGGAAACACACAGTTGCATTGACTAATCTATTGCTCTGGATAACTGTCAACATGTGATACTTGTCATCACTGAGAATTAGTTCAATTAATAGCTTTATTAGAAGAGTAAATAGAAGTTGTAATGTACTTTGAAGGTTAACAGTAACACATTTTGATTCCTGAAAAGTGGATATTGTAATACCTTAATTCCAGCACTGAACTATATTTAAAGTACTGTAAACCAATTTGTGTTGTGTACTTGACTGGGGCGGAAGCCTGCCTGTATTTTTAAATTAGTATAACACAATTTATTTCATGATGCAATAGTTAATCTGTATTAAAATTTCAATAAAAAAGGGGTTTTATAAGATCTAGTCCTGAAAAAAGGCACAAAAAAGTGTCTATGTGGTATATTATTCTTACTCACCTCGCTTAAAAACTTAAAGCGTCATTGACAGTTTTTTCCAAGCAGCTCCATTTACATTCTGGGTAGTAGATTTTAATATCTTACTGTGTAAAATAATGTCTTACAACCCCTTGTAACCTGAGAATTTCTTGTTACTCGTAGATAGAAAGTGTAAGTCCCATCTTTACTAGGAAAGTCAAGGTTTTTTATATGATATCTTAGTGGTCTGGGACATTAATAACTTAATAGAGTTTATGGCTAGAGGGGCCTTTTGTGATCATCTAGTCTGATCTTCTGTGTAACACAGGCTATACAATTTCCCCCAGTAATTCTTTCATCTAGTCTATAATAAGATGATGAACTAGAGCATTTCTTTTAGAGAGACATGTTGTCTTGATATAAGACTTCAAGTAATGGAAAATTCACCATAGCCAATGGTAAATTTGGTCAATGTTTAATTGTTTTCACAGTTAGGGCACATCAAGACTGCCCGTGGCTTTCGAAAGAAGATATGGAAATGTGGCGAGAATTTGCATATCTTCTTTTGATCCCATTTTCAGTAAAGCTTTTTTTTTTTTTAAAAAAAAAAAGCAGTTTAGACGTGATCCTTTCAAAAAATATCCCTTTTTCGAAAGAACCATTCTTCCCTAAAATATGAGGTGTACAGGGTTGTTTCGAAAAAGGGTTTTCTTTTTCAAAAGAATCTCATCTAGACTGCATTTTGTTTTTGAAAAAACTCTTCCGAAAACGGGATCAGAAGAAGATATGCAAATTCACGCCGTGGGCAGTCTAGATGTCCTGTTAGTGGACCCTTGGGATTAAGCTTTTTTAGTCTCTCTTACTTATTTTACTTTTTATTAAGAATATAAGAACATAAGAATGGCCATACTGGGTCAGACCAAAGATCCATCTAGACCACTATCCTGTCCTTCAGCAGTAGCCAATACCATATACCACAGAGGGAGTGAATGGAACAGGGGAATCTTCAAGCAATCCCTCTCCCATCACCCATTCCCAGCCTCTGACAGAGGCTAGAGACACCATTCCTAGCCATCCTGGCTAATAGCCACTGACGAACCTAATCTCCATGAATTTATCTAGCTCTTTTTTGAACCCGTTGAAGTCCTGGTCTTCACAACGTCCTCTGGCAAGGAATTCCAAAGGCCAACTGTGCGCTCTGTGAAGAAAAACTTCCTTTTGTTTGTTTGGGGTCATAGTGGACCACAAGCTAAATATGAGTCAACATTGTGACACTGTTGCAAAAAAGCAAACATGATTCCGAGATGGATTAACAGGAATTTTGTGAGCAAGAAAAAAGAAGCCATTCTTATGCTCTACTCTGTGCTGATTAGGTCTTAATTTGAATATTGTATCCAGTTCTGGGCACCACATTCCAAGAAAGATGTAGTGGAGAAATTGGAGAAGGTCCACAGAAGAGCAACAAAATGTTTTTAAAAAAAGGACTTGAAAACATGAGCTATGAGGGAAGACTGAAAGAATTGGGCTTGTTTAATTTAGAAAAGAGAAGATTGGGAGGGGATATGAAAGCAGTTTTCAAGTATCTAAAAGGGTGTTACAAGTAGGAGGTTGAAATTTTTTTTCCCTTGGCCTCTGATGATAGGACAAGAAGCAATGGGCTTAAATTGCAGCAAAGGAGGTTTAGGTTGGAAATCAGGAAAAACTTCCTAACTGTCATGGTGGTTAAACGCTGGAATAAATTGCCAAGGGAGGCTGTGATATGTCCATCACTGGACATATTTAAGAGCAAGTTGAATAGACATCTGTCAGGAATGATCTAGGTGATGCTTGGTCCTGCTGTGAGGGCAGAGGACTGGACTTGATGATCTCTCAAGGTCCCTTCCAGTTTTAATATTCTGTGCTTCTATAATTTTATGATTTATTAAAGACATATTGCTCTCTCAAATGCAATTTGATGTATAGTTAGTTATCAGATGAAACACTCCAATAGAATGAATGTTGAGTGATGAATGGTATTTACATTGAACAAAAAAGTGAAATTAGTGTAAACACTATGAAAACTGTTCATTTGCTCATAGTTAAAATTAATGGCACTTATCCAGTGTTTCCTGTGAATTCACTCAGAAAACAAAATGACAGGAATAACATCTTTCACTTCAAGAAATAAGTGCCTAATTATTTTGAGTCAAAACCTGGCAATAGTGATACCAACATTCCTTAAATGTACTTTTTATGAATAATTTACCACTCTAAAAGTATGTTTTTAAAACAGTGTTTGATTTTAGATTGGGAAAATATGGCCTCCTTTTTGACAGAAATGAGTCAGTAACAAACAATTTATTACAAGGAACAATGCAGTCTCCTGGAGTTCCACTGCAAAAATAGGGTTGAACCCATGTTCTTTATATGCTTAGAATTACTCTTCACAAGATAATATATTACAATCTTCCTTGAAAAAGAAAAGAAAAATGAAAAAGAAAGAGAATATACCTGTTTTGTTGCATAGCGATGAGGTAAACCACCTATAAATACAGGGCCTGTCTTAAGCCAAACTGAACTGGACCAGAGATTGGTAGGCATGCTTATCTTTGTAGAAGTCCCCAGGACTGACAGTTCAGCATCACATGGTATCATGTCTTGCCTGTATAAATTTAGAAATGCCGCATTTTACAACCATATTGTAAATCACATTCCTGTCCAACTGACAAATTAATTGGGCTATTACTAAATCAAAGGAACAGCACTTTCTACATTAAAGGCAATAAACATAATATAATCCTTTTCATCAACAAGCTATAAACTTGAGGGTTTGAGCTTCATAAAAATGAAGTTGTATTGTAAAACTCAATTGTATATTTGGCCAGAGTAGAAGGAAGGTGTAGAGGAAACCAACTGAAATTAATCTTTATACATGTGTATATATCCTTCACTTCAAGAAATAAGTGCACAATTCTTTTGAGTCAGAACCTGGCAGTAGTGACACCAACATTTCTTAAATGTACTTTTTATGAATAATTTACCTTCCTAAAAGTATGTTTTTACTCCAGTGTTTGGTTTTAGATTGGGAAAATATGGCCTCCTTTTTGACAGGAATGAGTCAGTAACAAATAAGCTATTACAGGGAACAATGCAGTCTCCTGGAGTTCCACTGCAAAACTACGGTATGTATGTATGTAATCATCTCACTCTGAATCCCCCAGGTATCCCTCAGCCACCCCACCTTCTCCCTTCCTCCTTCCTCCCCGCTGCTAACCCAGCAGGGATCAGCAACCTATGGCTCCCGAGCAGCACAGCAGCACTGAAGGTAGGCTGCTGTTGCTGAGTTGGGGCTGGCGGTACCTCTGGTAGCCGCCCACAATGTGGTAGCTAATGGAGTTATAAATTGTGCTGCTCTGGCCATGCAGAGGGGTGAGGGTGGCAGCAAGGCCTGTGTTGGGGAGAAAGGGAGGGCCACAGGAGAGGCCCACTACAGGGGAGGGCCAGGATTGGGGGGAAACTCCCCCCCACTGCAGGCCTCAACACTGCTGCCCCCAAACAGCTGGAGGAAGCGAGCCAGGCGAGTCATGGCCTCAGTCAGGCCTAACTCCCCAGTGGCTAGCGGGCGTGAACTGTGTCAGCTGCGGCCTCGAACCAGCCCAATCCTCTGGCAGCCAAAGGAAGAGAGGCAGGGCAGCAATGGCCTTGGCCTGTCCCAATGGTCAGGTGACCAGAGGGAAACAGATAAGCCAGCCGTGGCCTTGGCTTGGCCCAACTCCCCAACAGCCAGAGGGAGGGAGCCAGACCCACCACAGCCCAGTGAAATCCTCTGGTGGCTGACGGGAAAGAGCCAGGCCAGCCATGGCTTCAACCCAGCCCAACGCCCTGGCATCCAGAGGGAGAGAAGTGGGCTACCCAAAGCCTTGGCCTGGCTCCCCCCACCCCACCCCACCATGGTCAGAGGGAGAGAGCTAGGTCTGCCTCGGCCCGGCCTGGCCCAGCCCAACTCCCTGGCAGCTGGAGGGAAGAAGCTGGGCAAACCGCAGCCTCAGCATCAGCCTTCCCCTACTTACCCCATGGCAGCTGGAAGGAGAGAGACGGACTAGCCACAGCCTTGGCCTGGTCCAACCCCCTGGCTTCTAAAAGGGAGAGTGCCAGCTCAGGCATGGCCATGCACTGGCCGAAAGGAGAGAGCTAGCCCAGCCTCAGCCCATCCCAACCCCCTGGCAGCTGAAGGGAGAAAGCCGGGCCAAGGAGCTCAGTGGCAACTGCAAGGGAAGCTGGAGCTGCCTGCCCACAGACAGGGAGTTGGGGAGCAGAGCGAAGTAAGCAGGTGGCACCACCCCCTAATGAATAATAAATCAGATTTTTTTTTAAAGTAACAACTAGGTTTTATGTGTTTGTATAAGAAGTGATTATCTCTCTACACTATGTTTTGAACAATATTTCCTGGGATTCATGTATATAAGGGCAGGGAATCGAAAACTGACAAAAATAGGTTTCTTTTAATGACATTATGCCCAATTCTGTTATATGTACTTACAAAAACACTATTCTCATGTATCAAAGCTACAAGATTGGGCAATTGCTGGATTTAATGTGATTGCAGAGTATATCAATACTTCTCTGTATACACTACAGGGATCTATCAGAAAAAGATACGCAAATTACACTCTGCAACTTGCTTACCTCTTTCCAATAGCTTTTTCAGAAGAGGCTTTTCCTAAATTTGGCCTGTCTACACTACAAAGCGGAAGAGCAGACATAGTCTCTGGATGTGGCAGAGTTTTTCCGGGATACCTCTGCTATCCCGAAAAAAACCCATAGTGTAGACATAGCCTAAATCAGTGCAGCATTTGGTATCAACTTCTATGTAAATACTTCGGGCAGTGGTCACCAACCAGTAGATCGGGATCTACTGGTAGATCTTGGAGCCTTTGACAGGGGACCTTGACTGGTTTGGCCAAGAGGCTATCAAGTGCTGGCACTTCAGCTGCCCCTCCCCACCACTGCTGCGCACCTTCTGCCCTTTGCCTTAGAGCTGCCTCTGCTTTCCCCATTTGCTGGGCAGGGAAGCAAGAGGAGTGGGTGCTGATGTCAGGGTGCCTCCCCTCCCACTCTGTAGCTTATCTCCACAGAATGGAGGGGGGCACAACAGGGCCAGGAATGGAGGGAGTTTGCTGGCTGCTTTTGAGAGTGGTGCAGGGGCAGGGCAGGGGTGATCCTGCCTTAGCCTCACTGCACCACCTGTGGTAAGCAGTGTCCAGCTGGAACCTGCATCCTGAACCCCTGCTCCAGTCATAAACCCCTCTTGCACCCCAAGCCCCTGGCCTAGCCCTGATCCACCCCAGACCCAAACTCCCTTACAGAGCCTGTACCCTGAACTTCTTCCTTCACCCCAACTCCCTGCCCCAGGCTCAGATCAGAGCAACTCCTAATCTCTTAACCCAAGACCAGAGTCTGCACTCCAACCCTCTGCCCCTGCTTGATGAAAGGGAGGAAGGATGGAGGACTGAGGGAGGACCGAGTGAGCAGGGGTGGGGCCTCTAAGAAGGGGCACAAAGGAGGCAGGACAAGGGTAATCGGGTGTGAGGTAAATCCTGGATTGCATTTATATTCAAAAAAATGATCTTGTACTTAAAAAGGTTGGAGATCACTGACTTAGGGTATGTCTACACTACCACCCTAGTTCAAAATAGGGTGGCTAATGTAGGCAACCAGAGTTTCAAATGAAGCCCAGGATTTGAATTTCCCGGGCTTCATTTGCATATTGCCGGGCGCCGCCATTTTTAAATGTCCGCTAGTTCAGACTCCGTGCCCGCGGCTACATGCGCGCGAACTAGGTAGTTCAGATTAGACTACCTATTCCGAACTACCGGTACACCTTGTTCCCCGAGGAGTAACGGTAGTTCGGATTAGAGAGCCTAATCTGAACTACCTAGTTCGCGCGCATGTAGCCGCGGGCACGGAGGCTGAACTAGCGGACATTTAAAAGTGGCGGCGCCCGGCAATATGCAAATGAAGCCCAGGATTTGAATTTCCCGGGCTTCATTTGCAACTCCGGTTGTTTACATTAACCACCCTAGTTCGAACTAGGGTGGTAGTGTAGACATACCCTTTAGTTTCCTTCTTTCTTTTAATAATAGTACGGTAATTTTTATTCTTTTCACCAACCAGCAGTAAACACACTGCCTTTATAAAAAGAAGCACAATGGAAAAATAAAAAAGTGAGCCAATGGACATCTCACTTGACAAATTCATTCTACCCATCCTTTTGTCTGCATAGCAGGAAGTCAGAGTTCTGTTTAAGAGCCAAACCAAAACACTAAAAGTCTGGCCAGTTGTCTTATTAATATGATTCAAGGATCTTCCTACTGCAGCTCTGACCTAAAAGTATACAGCAAATGAACAAAATCAAAAGCAGACATTGCCTCTGAAATTTAATTAGGATATTATAGATAAATAGATGAATTCACTTAATCTTGGGTAACACAGAGCTATCCACAACATGCTTAATTGGTGACATATAGATCATGAAAGCTGGTGTTTTAAATTTTTTCTTTCTTCTCCCATCATAGATACCCACTGTTGAATTCTCCAAGAACTGTCTTACTTTGTCAATTATTTCAATAGGAGCAAAAGCAGCCCTACAGGAGCAACATGTGTAGACATAGGTGTATGTTTATTTTCTGCATAACTGTGTTTGTATCACTTTCATGAATTCCTTAATCATGCCAGTTGTGTGCATTGAGACACTTATTGTATTTAAAATAGAAGGGACTATATTCTAAATACTTCCACAAGAAAAATACTTTCCCCACACTATTAAAGTATATAAAAGTACCAGGATGAAAATAATAAGATCCCAGGTTTAACACAAAATGATGTCCTGCCTGGGTTGTTTGTGTTGTCCGTAAAGCCAACTTGTAAAGTAGAATTAGATAATCATTCTTTGTTCAATTCTATGAAATGTTTTTTTAAAACCGTGGAAAGGACATCATCTTCAATTAAATTATGATTTAAGACATTTCCATGGAATGTAGGAGTTTTTTTCTTATTATTTTAGTGCAATATAATTGAAGCTTGTACTGAATAGTCAAATATGACATTTAAAATTATCTCATATTTTTGTTGTAAAAGAATGAAATGCTTTAATTATTCTGACAGGATTTGTGCCATCTACCTGAGTATATGGGTTCCAATTATAGTTCTCTGATACAAATTGGTGGAATACTTACTAGGCTGAGTCTCCAAATATCGTCTTTAGCATTTTAAAGGTACAAAAGGCATACACTTATTTCTTATGAAAATTTTATTTTCATTATAGAGTAATTATTTTGGATTTAGAAACAGTAAGTTATAAGAATCACATAGCTTGTTCCTCCTGCTCTAGATCTATGGGGAAATGAATACGGCAGCACATTTTTTGTTGTTGAAGATCATATCTGTATTAATTGTGTTTGACAATCCTAGTGTTAACAAGATTACAGATTATGTAATTACCCATTAAAATATTCAAATAGAACTCAGGATGATGTTTTCAGTTTAACCCTGAACTCACTACTTTAGAGGTTGAAAGAAAAAGTGTGCTATATATTTTTTGTCATCTCACATGTTTTCTTTTCAGACTCTTTTCATCAAATATTCAAAGCATCATTAGCTAAA